CCCCAAAACCCCAAAACCCCAAAACCCCAAAACCCCTGCTTGGACTCTTGTTTGAATATTTATTTAATAGAATCAATATGGGCACATGCTATTTTCAGTATATCTTAGGCAGTCCTATTTCGAGTATCTTTACTAATATCAATATTGCTTTGCTGCTTTGCATTCTGCCAGATTGATCATTTTTGGCTTACTCAAGACCAGGCGCTTCAATTCTTTTAAAGAGAGGTGATGTATCAATAGTGATAGATAAGACATTATATCAGAACACTCAAAAGTTGACAAGTCTCGACTTATTCGCTTATTCTTATGCTTCATCTCTGTCTTCAACTTCTTGTTGCCGATTTCAGCGGTTTCACATTTCTACATAATTTAAATATCTTGATAATGTTTGAACCCATGCAGATGATTCATAGTGGGCCTTCTAGCCACTTCAATAATATTTTAACTTAAAAAGACTTTAAAACTAACAAACTGACTTGAAAGATATTTTGACAGGTACGAGGAGATGTAGCGATGCTTTGTTGGATCATTTTTATTATACAGGTTCATGGAAATAGAAGCAGAAGTATATCTGCCTCCTTTTGCCTGCTGACGTTAAAGGATATATAATAGACATCATGAAAGGAGATAAAAAGTACTTGAAGTGCAGAGATATGAAAGTAATTAAAGAGTAACAGTATAAGAGTCTGAAGGTGTTTGATTTAATAAATTGGACAAGAGATAAAGCTGACATTGATCCATACCTTCCTCAATATACTTATCATAGAGGGCGTGACAGAGAATGGACAATAAATATAGTCAATACTCTTCTTAAGAAAGACTTCAAGAAATTGGTTAAAACCCTATCAAATGGAAGAGAGAAATATTTTATCAAGAAGAACCTGAGACTAATATTCTTCCAGAATTTGAAGGTGTTTTAGGTACTAAAACCAATACCACCTTCCAAACGAAAGAGTTACTATTTATTGAGAAGCCAACTGAGAAAGCCAGATGCTAGCATGAAGCCAGTGAAGACTAAGCATGCTACAAATGAGAAGAAGCAAATTGTTTCTTTGAAGCCCAACTTGAAAACTTAAAAGGAGTAATTCCATGATGCAGACAGAAAGAATGAATGTTTGTACAATAGCAAAAGGGTACCCACAAGCTTTTTAAGAATTGGCTAATTGGCTCTAATCGAGAGCTGGCTAGTGAGGCACAAAAGAGAGTAGTGCGAAAACATATCATTTTTACGCAGTATCTATTCCTTATATTGAAAGACTATTTCTAGTAGCTACTGCCTCTTAATAATACTTGCTTCAAATGTTGAGAAGACAAACCATGTAGAGCAGCTATAAATTACTCAAATCTGATTTGTGAAAATTTGCTTTATGTGCTGTAAAGAATCTAAACTTCTGGATGCTATAGACCAAGCATCAGACAATTCAAAGCCAATAGAAGGCTCATGGCAGTTATATAATTTTCTATTTAGGATTTCCAATACAGTGCATGGTTCAACTACTGAGAAGATGCACGGGGTTTTGGGGTTTTGGGGTTTTGGGGTTTTGGGGTTTTGGGG